ATTTACATTGACAGAACCCATTTAGCAGATTAAATTGGGCGATTTTGAGCACAGATAAAGCCCTTTCTAGCTAAGGTATCCAAGAGATATTTAGTGGTTAGAAGACACAAACTAATTGCATAGGCTGCTCAGAGAGTCTGATAGTACTCTAAAATGCTTTAAGACCTTTTACACTGTACTAGAAATCCTACAACCACCCACCAGTGTTTGCTGGGCATCCTTCTTGCTTGCTTGCTTGTTTTCTTAGATTTTATTTTTTAAGTAATCTCTACACACAATGTGGGGCTCAAACTCACAACCCCAAGATCAAGAGTCACATGCTCTCCCAACTGACCTGGCTGGGTATTACTGGGCATCTGGAGATGGAGCTCTAAAACATGTCTCATAATTGGCTAAGACAGGCAGAAGACATTCTGACAATGAAAGAGTGGAGATCATCTTTGTTCTTAGACATTACAAGAAACAAGAGAAGGAAGGGTAAGAGATAAATACAAGTTTTAATCAGGAAATGAAGGAAGTGAAAGATGGAGACCATTATACCCTTACCACGTTGCATCTCCCTAACCACAAACATGGTATATAATCTCTCTGTTTGTTTAGGAATTTTTTTATGTCTTTGAATAAAGACTTTAAGTTTTCTCCATAGTAGCTTTGACCATATTTTGTTAGACTTCTTCCTAGTTAGTGTACAGATTTTGGCCCTATTATAAATGGTACTTCTAAAATTAAAATTTCTTCAAAAAAATTAAATTAGGGGCGCCTGGGTGGTTCGGTGGGTTAAGCCTCTGCCTTTGGCCCAGGTCATGATCCCGGGGTCCTGGGATCGAGCCCCGCGTCTGGCTCTCTGTTCATCGGGGAGCCTGCTTCCCTTCCTCTCTCTCTGCCTGCCTCTCTGCCTACTTGTGATTTCTGTCTGTCAAATAAATGAATAAAATCTTTAAAAAAATTAAATTAAATTAAATTTTCTAATTGTTTGCTATTGGGGAATAGGAAAGCAATTTGTGATTGGGGGCAAGGATCTTATGTCTAAAAACTTTAGTGAACTTTCTCATTAGTTCTAAGAGTTTATCCGGAGAGGCTCTTGAATTTTCTATATATTGTCTCCTAATTTTCACATGAAGATTAACTTTCCTTCAGGGAAAAATCTAAATGAAATAATACAAACCTAGGACCATAATACTCTGTACTAATTTTCCTTGCATTAACACTTATACATAAACTAATATTTATTTAGCTCTGATTGGAAATCTTATGGTCTATGGAAGTGTTTTGCAAAGTGTGTTGCATCCACCAACATAAGGTTTTTATATTTCATACTATATTCTTTCTTAGAGATTCACAAAGGCTCTGAGAAGTCCTGCAAAGAAATCTTTCTAACTTGGTGAAATCCTACATTCCAAACTGATTTTATCATGAAACCCCTTTTCAAGCAATATCTTCCAGTCTTCTGAGAAACTACTTTTTACAAAGGGCACACTTTGGGAAATGATGGTCTTAGGAAACATAGTCATTGTGAAAATTACTTAACTCCAGGATTTTCTCAAAGAATCTACTGTCTCTTTCACTATATTTTCTGGAAGCTGGGCTGGGTAGAACAAGGTTCTGCTTGGCTTTTGCAGTTTCTATTCTTCAGTCTTTAACAATAACTCCCTATGAGTTAATGCCAGTATTATAAAAGAAAGAAAAATATTCATATTAAATATCATGAGACTACCTACTACTTCTATTCCTTAGAAACGGCCCACAACTGGTCACAGTGGGAAATCATCCTTGAAATTCTGTATGTATGTGTGTGTGTATATGTATATACATATATGTATATATATATACAGATATTTAAGATTTTATTTATTTATTTGACAGGAAGAGAGATCACAAGTAGGCAGAGAGGCAGGCAGAGAGAGGGGGGAAGCAGGCTCCCCACTGAGCAGAAAGCCCGACGTGGGGCTTGACTCCAGGACCCTGAGATCATGACCTGGGCCGAAGGCAGAGGCTTAACCCACTGAGCCACCCAGTCACACCTCTGTCAATATATTTTAACTGGTATGGAGATGAGATCTTTCTCTACTACTATTGCTCTTCCTGCTAAGCCCCAGGCCATCAGCTCTTATGCCATGTTTTTTTCCTTACACTGTACAGAACTACACATGTTTATCAAAAGCTGTCCCTTCTGTGTTCTGGATTATGTACAAAGGCTACAAATTCATCAGAGTACAAGTAAATAAATGGAAATAGAAAAGGTCCACAAGTAGGAACAAATTTTATTGGGGGAAAAATGTTTTAATTATGTAAATCTTCCTTGTGTTACTCTTATTTTAAAGTAAACCCTATCCCCAACATGGGGCTCAAACTCATGACCCTGAGATCAAGAGTCACATGCTATAGCACTGAGCCAGCCAGGTGCCCCTTGCATTACTCTTTCTAATCTGAATGTTTATTCAATCATTTGAAAGGGTAACAATGTATCCATCTCAGTGGGTCTCCCCAAGGTATACATCAAAATCATTTGTGGAGCTCTGCAAAAATATAAATAGCTAAGCCCTACCTGAGAACCTCTCAATTAGAATCTGTATGGAGAAGCTTAGGCACTTGTATTTTATTAATTTGAGAGAAAGAGAGTGTGAGCAAGAGAGAGAGAGAGAGTGCGTGCACTCACACAAGCTGGGTGGGGGGGGCAGAGGGAGAAGTAGACTCCCCACTGAGCAGGGAGCCCAATGTGGGACTCAATCCCAGGACCCTGAGATCATGACCTGAGCTGAAAGTAGATGCTTAACTGACAAAGCCACCCAGATGCCACTGTATTTTGTTTTTGAAGATTTTATTTATTTATTTATTTGGAATGTGAGCATCTGGGGAGGTGCACAGTGAGAGGGAGAGAGAATCTCAAGCAGACTCCAAGCTGAGCAAGGAACCCAACTTGGGGCTCCATGACACAACCCTGACATCACGACCTGAGCTGAAATTCAGTTGGACACTTAACTTAATGAGCCACCCAGTGCCCCCAGTCACCTGTATTTTTAAAAGCTTTGCAACTTATTCTCTACCATTTACTCTATGGCCTTTTTTTTTTTTTTTTAAGATTTTATTTATTTGACACAGAGAGATCACAAGCAGGCAGAGAGGCAGGCAGAGAGAGAGGAGGAAGCAGGCTCCCTGCTGAGCAGAGAGCCCGATGCGGGGCTCAATCCCAGGACCCTGAGATCATGACCTGAGCCGAAGGCAGTGGCCTAACCCACTGAGCCACCCAGGTGCCCCTGGCCTTTCTTTTTTAATAAACGATTTTTCCATATGGCCTCGCCTAAATTTTTTCTCTGATTTTGATTTTAAATAATAAAAAATATTTTTAAGGAAAATAAATCAATTCCAAACCCACTTCCCAAACACATGAAAAATTTTTCCCCATGTCTGGCTCTAGTCCTTTTTCATGTAGAGACATTTTTGAATTCTGAATTTGACACTTAACATTTTATTTATAAAATTTTCCATGCTATCATATAGTGGTAAGAATTGTCACTTTAGGAAATATATGATATTCCAGAAAGCATTTATTTCCAGAAAGTAGTATCATATTTTAGCATTTAATCATTTGTATCATATTAAAGCATTTATTTGTATCATATTTTAGCTAACCATTCCCTTACTATTGGACAATTAAGCTGTTTCTCTCTCTCTCTCTCTCTCTTTTTTTTAAATGATCTCTACACACAGTGTGGGGCTCAAACTCACAACCTTGAGATCAAGAGTCTGATGCTCCACTGGCTAAGCCAGTCAGGTGCCCCTGTTTCTCCATTTTATTTATTTTTATTTATTTTTTTAAAGATTTTATTTATTTATTTGACAGAGATCACAAGCAGGCAGAGAGGCAGGCAGAGAGAGAGAAGGAAGCAAGCTCCCTGCTGAGAGAGAGCCCGATGCGGGGCTCGATCCCAGGACCCTGAGATCATGACCTGAGCGGAAGGCAGCGGCTTAACCCACTGAGCCACCCAGGCGCCCCTGTTTCTCCATTTTAGAATGCTCTAGAGAAAATGGCAATGAAGAGCTTGGTGTGTATGCTGCTTTCCTTTTGAATCAATGCCCTTGAGATAATTTTCTGAAAATCTAGTTATTGGGTCAAAGGATATGAACGTTTTTTTATGAGTCTGTTAATGATTACTAAATTGCTTTCCAAAAGGTTGAACAAATTCGCAAAGCCATGCCCCAACTCCATGGCATGACTGCTGAGGTTTTCAAGGAGGGGCAGGCAATACGAGAGGCCTGTTTGGTGTTCCCATAACAGGTTGAAAAAATGTTTCCAAATGTAGCAGCCATATTACTTAAGAAGTAAGTTAAGAAAACGAATAACAACAGTATACGGTCACCCCTCAACTATCTCATCTACTATGTGCCAGTATTTTCCTTGCATTCTCTTTAATCCTAAAAAAAAGCAAACAAAAAAATGAACAACAACAAAAACGGCAAGTTAGATCTTACTGCCCCTCCTTTTACAGATGAAGAAAGAGTGGAAAAGATTTTGAGTAACTTGCTGCCCAGATCTGGGTCTAGGTCTTAAGACTCCTGGCAGCCTCAGCCTTCCTCCTCTTGGAGCCCCCAGCAACTATGTAGGGAGGTCCAGCAAAGAGGGAGTTCTGGAGAGATCACAAAGAGAGAGAAACAAACACTGGGCCAGCCCAGCTATTCCAGCCATGACAGCCAAGGAACTAGACATGTGAGTGATGCCATCTTGGATCTTCCAATCTTAATCAAGTCACCCAGCCAAAAACATAGGGAGCAGAAACAAACCATCCAATGAGCTAACAATCAGTGATTGTTTTAAGCCATTTCAGTTTTGGGATGGCATGGTTTGGTATGCAACAACAAATAATGGGAGCAATATATTTTATTTTGGTAAATAACAAATGCAGAAAGAGTACCAGGGATACCTTTGAGCTTCCCTAACTCTAACACAGGCAGAATAAAAGTCACTGACATTTACCACCTTTTCATCCCACGTCTGTACTTACCTCTGTCACAGCACTGACCCCACTGCACATGGCCTTCACACATGTTCATGTCTGCCTTCTCTACCAGATGGGGGGCCTCCACCTTGGTAACCACAACACCTTACACAAGACCTAGCACAAAATAATTAATACACATATGTTGAATGAATCTTGACTTGTTCCTGATTGCTTAATAAAAGCACTTGAAATGGAATAATAGCTTTTATTTATTGGGCTCAGCACTGTACAAAGTATTTCATATGGATTATCTCAGTTTATCTTCACAAAAATTGCATAAAGTAGGTCCTGTAATTACCCTCATTTTACAGATGAGGATACTGAGAGGCTAGGTCAAATTACTTGAGGTTACAAGTGTTTTGTTTCTTTTTTCTTAATTAACAAGGAGAGAGAAGTTTATTGAGTACACTGCAAGGGAGCAGAGGGTGGGACAACAAAGGAGAGACTGTCTGCCAGGAGATGGGGTGGGGGGGTGGCTGTTGTTGTTGGGGGTAGTGAGAAGGCATGGGAATATATGGAATTTTCTGGTTCCTGTTCCCGGTTGTAAGTAGCCCATTGGTCAGCCAGGGACTCGGGCTATTTTGAGGTGTGTTGCCTGATGGCCTGTCTGTATTCAGCCCTGGGGTCACTGTGGGTTCTTCTGCCTTAATCAAGCTTCCATTGCTCAAGCCTCTTTGCCTGAAAGTGGCCTCTATATTCCTCCCTGACTGATTGAAGAGGACAAATCTTTGGCATTTGGGTGGAGGTCTCATCTTCAGTAGCTGCTTTCTGCTGGATGTGGGTGGGGGCTGTCTCGACCTAAGCTGTCCATCAGGGGTTCTGTGCAGTTAAAGACCAGAGCATGGTGTTAGATGAATGTGCTGAGAGGTGATCTGAGTGAGATTCTCTGGTGGTCAGCTCCATGGGTCTTCGGGGGAGGGGACCCCTGATGGCATGGGCTGGAACCCTTGTGGAATCATCACTTGTGTATGGAATTGTTGGATTCACTCAGACCCACAGTAACATAGATCAAGATGGTGGCTGGACCCATGGGAACAAAGGAAAAAAGGGGATGCGGAAAGAAGCAAGAAGCAAGGCTGAGAGTCACCTGGCTTCAGGAGGGGTTCCAAATGAGTCTGCAGTATGTGTGGATTCACCCTGGGTGGGCTGCCACTGCCAACTGTGCCACACATTGGGAACGGACACCTCGGGGGGATGGAGTGTGAGAGGCGGATGGAGTGTGAGAGGTGAGGACACAGGCAGACCAACACCAGAGAGCTGCCCTGGCCAGAGACCTTCAGCTGTCTGAGGAACACTAGGGTTAGGCTGACAGAGGACTGAAAGTTGAAAGAAGGGGGAGGGAAGGATCCTCTGAAGGGCAAGAGGGAAAATCCCTCACCCTTTTGGGCAAGGGTAGTCCAGCAGGTTCCCTCTGGGGCTCAGATCCTCATGGAGGAGTAACCTCAGCTGGAGGTCATCAGATTCCCAGGGAGTACTAGAGTCGGTCCACCGAGGGAGAGTCCGGAGACATTCCCAGAAAATCCGTGGAGAGTCCTGGCCCTGCATGGCTGTGGTTCCAACCTGTGTGGGCCATCAAATGGGGGTGACCCAATCCGGTGGAGGCCAATGTGTGGGCAGTGAAAGAATTCACCCAAGGCAGAACAAAGGAGATCGAAATTTATTGAATACACTGCAAGGGAGCAGTGGGCAGGCCAGCAAAGGAGAGACTGTTTGCCACAAGAGCATTTTAAATACCTGTACTGAGGGACGCCTGGCTGGCTCAGTCAGTGGAACATGTGACTCTTGATCTTAGGGTTATGAGTTCAAGCCCCATGTTGGGTATAGAGATTACTTAAAATTTTTAAAAACAAAAAACCAAAACCAACCAAACCCAAACCTGTACTGAACAAGGCAATACTTTATTTAGGCTTTGGCAGTGGTTAAGTGAATGAAACCATTGCAGTGTGGTGCACAAAATCCCTGGAGGTCTGGTTGCCTGACTGTGTCATAGTAGACAGCACTTGTCCTGTTAGGGCTCACTGCCAACTGCAGGAATGTCATGGAGGGTTGTGCAGGTTGTGTCCTGCACAAGGACATCTAGCCCAAGGGCAAGTAGAGGCTGAAATCTAGACTGTGCCATTGCACTCTGCTCACTATGGAGCCTGGCACAGAGCTGTGTCTGTCTGGGGGAGGGGACACCTGTTACCTAATTTGCACAATGCCACTGTGTGTGGGCTACTGGCAGTTCTCGATGGAACACGTTAGTTTGTAGGAACCTGGAGTGTCTCATCAAACAGAATTCAGAAACTTGCCAGGTTTTAGAATAGATAGAGCCAAGAAAATGGTTCCAGAGGACTCGTGGAGGGTGAGTGGAGGTTGGGGACAATGGAAAAATTTGGGTGCAGTGTCTGAGCTCCCGTATCGTTATGTGCCCTACCCCATCACTCCCAGAGGTGAGTCGCCTTGGGAAAAGGTGTCATCCCACAGAAGTTCCCATCCCTGTGGGTTATCTGAGACTCCTAGACCTTGCTGTTTCAGACAATCCCAGTTGCAGTGGTGTACCAAAAGGCATGCACACTAACAAAAAAAAAAAACAAAAAACAAAAAACAAACACTGCACAACAGATTATAAACCTTACCAGAGAGGGCTCACTGCAGCGTTCTTAGAGAGTCCAAGCAACTTGAGCATCCCTACACAGACATGCAGCATGGTCAGGTGGCCTCCTGGGAGGATCGTGAGAGTGGGCCCAGAAGGAAATCCCTCCCACAGGAGAAAATAAAATAGGTAACAATGTCTGATAATTAATCGCTTCTCTGTGTCCATGAGCTTGGCTATAGCCGAAGGACCTAAATTGCTTTGGGGTACAACTTCACCCTGTCTGAAGTAGTTTACAGAGCTTCGTAGGCTCCACTTCCCAACTGTACTGCCATTGCAAGAAGCTGAGAGGAGTGAAGAGGCTCTGGGAAAGGCCGAACACACCCCTGCATGACGCCCACTGAACCTGAATCAAGGTCTTAAATATGTAGCTGAAAAGTTCCCAGGAAATATATGGTGGTGATGGGGCGATAGCCTGAGTGCTGGCTATCTGAGGCCCCTTCATGATAACCCCTTGGATGGGGCCTCTGCCCTGTGAAGCTAGCACACCTTGGGTCCAGAGGGGGAGGAAGGGGACAGCCCCCTTTTATCACCAGCTAAACGACTTCACATTCCCTTTCACCAACTGTCGGCCATGGGTTCCAGAAAGAAAGATACTGTATCAGTGTCTTAGGGCTGCTGGAACAAAGTATCACAAGCTGGGTGGCTCAAAACAACAGAAATGTGTTGTCTCACAGTTCTGGAAGGAAGAAGTAAAAAATGAAGGTGTTCGAGAAGTGTTGTTTCTTCTTCACTCCTGGTGGATTGCTGGCAATCTCTGGCATTCCTTGGCTTCCAGATGCATAAATCCAATCCTCTCTTGTCCCATGGCGCTTCTCCCTGTGTTTCTTGTCTTTGGTGGCTGTCTGTCAGATTGCATTAGGGGTCAAATCTACTCTGGCATGACCTCAGCTTAACTTAAATCTGCAACAAACCTGTTTCCAAATAAAGTCACGTTCTGAGGTACTGGGGTTGGGATTTCATCATATCTTTTTTTTTTTTTTTAAGATTGTATTTATTTATTTGACAGACAGAGATCACAAGTAGGCAGAGAGGCAGGCAGAGAGAGAGGAGGAAGCAGGCGCCCTGCTGAGCAGAGAGGCTGATGTGGGGCTTGATCCCAGGACCCTGGGACCATGACCTGAGCCAAAGGCAGAGGCTTTAACCCACTGAGCCACCCAGTCGCCCCTCAGCATATCTTTTTTAAGGGGACACAAATCAAACATGGAGCAGCCATGTTTCTGTATCAAACTGCTTGCTGATTCTCTAGGTCTGTCTCCAGTAGTGCTATATAGTGAGTTGGTTAATCCATGGGCTTCAAGTCAGATTTCTGAGGTTAAAACCTTGCCTCCACTGCTGTGTGACTAAGGGCTGCAGAATGGGAATGCAGTAGAATGAGGGCGTCTATTATCTGAAGCTGGTGGAGGATTGGAAGAAAGTACTTTGCACAGTGCTGGGCATTAAGTGCCCATTAAGTATTAGCTATGGGTATTATTATTCTCTATTTCTTCTTTTTAAAGATTTTATTTATTTATTTATTTATTTATTTATTTATTTGACAGAGACAGCAAGAGAGGGAACACAAGCAGGGGGAGACAGAGAGGGAAAAGCTGGCTTCCTGCTGAGCAGGGAGCCCAATGCGGAGCTCAATCCCAGGACTCAGGTATCATGACCTGAGCCAAAGGCAGACGTTTAATGGACTGAGCCACCCAGATGTCCTTCCCTAACTCTTTCTATTGACTTCTTTCGGAGTAGATCATTTACTCTTCTCTGTAGACACACCATGATCCTGGGGGTAAAACCAGTGGAGAATGGGAGGGGTTTAGTTTCACTTGTTTATTCAATGAAACTGAAGGTGCTAGGACACTCCCTCACTGTATTGCCCATTAAGGGGACAGTTCATATTTGCTAGCACTGGAAAAGTTCCTTCTGCTGCCAAGAGAAGACAACTGGTTGACTTTGTAATAGCCTCACAGGGGCACCTGGCTGGCTCTGTCGGTAGAGTGTGTGTGACTCTTAATCTCAGGGTTGTGGTTCAAGCACCACGTTGGGTGTGGAGCCTACTTAAAAAAACAAAAAAACAAAAAAACAAAAATCAAGAGCCTCACAAGAGGACATACTGGTGATGTTTTGATGAAAGTTGCTGTGGTCCTAAAGCCCTCACTCAGCCTTATGACAGGTTCAGAAACTCCACCATGTTTGAGTTCCCGAACTGAAAGTTGACTCAAACAACAAACCTTTACAAGGTCCACGAGATGGAGAAAACAAGAGGGTAATTTGTGTAATTTACAGTGACCAAAATCTACCTGTAAGGCAGTCCAGCCATGGCTTCTCTCCTCGGAGAGAATTATCAGAAGGTTGCTTTGTGGGTATGGAAACAGGATGAGGGGCAGAGTTCTAGGATTTAAATGAATAATAGTACTGGGTTCTGATCTGACCATTGCCACTTAACCAGAGAGGGCAGTGTCTTGATTAGACTGGATTGAGTGCCTTCTCCCTAAGACAGGCACTACTCACTCCCCAGCTTTTTCTTTTGGTCTCCTTTGTCACTTCCTACTTCTAACTGACATATTCCTTTTTTTTTTTTTTTTTTAAAGATACACTGTTACCTTCTGTCTTGTTCCACTTACCAGATTCTTATTCTTTTATTTAAAAAAAAATTTTAAGTAAAAAAAATACATATATTAAGTAATCTCTATTCCCAATGTGGGTCTCCAACTCACGACCCTGAGCTCAAGAGTTACATGCTCTACAGACTAGACCAGCCAGGTTCCCGTTATTATTATTTTTTAACATCAGGATTAGAGAATCTGATAGAAGCTATCCATGACTATTTTCACAGAAAAACATCATACTTAAACTATGTGAGCAATTTCAGAGGGTTCACAAAAGTCTTTGAAGCTGTTTTATATGTCCTATCTTAAAATCCCTGTCTTTTTTTTTTTTTTTTAAGATTTTATTTTATTGGGGCACCTGGGTGGCTCAGTGGGTTAAAGCCTCTGCCTTCGGCTCAGGTCATGATCCTGGCATCCTGGGATTGAGCCCCACATCGGGCTCCCTTCTTGGCAGGGAGCCTCCTTCCCTCCCTCTCACTCTGCCTGCCTCTCTGCCTACTTGTGATCTCTGTCAAATAAATAAAATAAAATCTTAAAAAAACAAACAAACAATTTTATTTATTTGACAGACAGAGATCACAAGTAGGCAGAGAGGCAGGCAGAGTGAGAGGGAGGGAGAGCCTGATGCGGGGCTCAATCCCAGGACCCTGGGATCATGACCTGAGCTGAAGACAGAGGCTTTAACCCACTGAGCCACCCAGGCACCCCTTAAAATCCCTGTCTTAAGCAGACTTGCTAAAGTTTAAGCTTCTTCCTCAGGGCCAAGTTCTTAAGATGGCCCTCCATCCTCACCTCCCTTCTCATTCCTCCACCTTCTCATTCTCATACTAGGGCCACCTTGTGACCTCTGCACTGCCCTGACCTTGTGGCTGGCCACCTCTGCCTCCGCCACAGCTGCTGGGTTGATCTTTAGCTGTGATTATAGTTAATCCTGTCTTCAGCTCCCACCCCCCACCCCCCGCCCCGTGAACTGTGTCTTACACTTTCCCTAGCACTCCAGTTACCCCACTTTACCTCTTCCTTCGCTCATGTGACCACACCTAGGATAGGACTAACACATTGATATTATTTCCTCCTGCTTTTCTGCCCCTCCTCATAACCATATTCATAGTCTTGCCTCCCTCTTTCTTCTACTTCCTCCTTCCCCCCATTTTTTCCTACCAATCCTTCCAGGACATAACAGCTTGGACATCATTTTCCCAGGTTCTCCCCCGTAGACATTCCATCCCTCCACCACCACCAGGGCATTGTCTTTCTTTAAAATATCCACTTTTAAAAAAAATATTTTATTTATTTATTTGACACAGAGAGAGAGATCACAAGCAAGCAGAGAGGCAGGCAGAGGGAGAGGGGGAAGCAGGCCCCCTGCTGAGCAGAGAGCCTCATGTGGGGCTTGATCCCAGGACCCTGAGATCATGACCTGAGCTGAAGGCAGAGGCTTAACCCACTGAGCCACCCAGGTGCCCCTAAAATATCCACTTTTTTAAATGATTTTCAACACAAATTTGTATTTCCAACTTCTGCCACTTTGAACTTCAGATGTGCATATACAACTTAACTACTTATTTGCACTTGACAGTCACAAAACACTATATATATAGTGGGTCCCAAATAAAACCAATGATTCACTGTCCCCATCTTCCCTCATCTCAATAAATTATACCCCATTTAACATAGTGGTTCAAGCCAGAGGAAGGACTGTTAATTGTTCCCTTTTCCTTACCTCAACATGAGTGAAGTAGTCTTGTTGGTACTTCTTCCAAAATATACATTGTGTTCAAAGCCATTTCTGCATACCCACTGCCATGACTCTTAGCTCAGGCCAGCACATTTTCTCATCTGGCTCATTGTAGCAGTCTCTCTTCTGGTCTCCCTGCTTCTGTACTGGTCTTCTAATCCATTCTTTCCATAGCAGCTTCAGCTTCCTTTTAAAAACAGAAGTTATATTGTATCATTCTCTCTCTCTCTCTTTTAAAGTAGGCTCCACACCCAACGCAGGGTTTGAACTCAGGACCCAGAGATAAAGACCTGAGCTGAGATCAAGAGTCAGATGCTTAACTGACTGAGCCACCTATGCACTCTTAGTATTACTTTCTACTTAACCTTTTAAAATGGATTCCTGCTTATTCACTAAATGCTTTTTTTACTGAGTGCCCTCCATATGTCATGCCCCCAATGATATCAGCTCTTGCGAATAAATGAAGTATATAGAATGTAGATAGTGGTAAGTGCCGTGAAGAAAAATAAAGAAGGGGTGAGGGACAGAGAATTGTGTGGGTGGGGGTGTGCACCCGCACACATATGTCTAATTACAATCTTAAATAGGGAGAACAGAGAAAGTTTCACTGAGACTGAGTAGTTGACCACTGAGCAAAGGACTTGAAAGAGGTGAGTGTAGTCTGCAGAATATTCCAGTCGGAGGAAATAGCAAGTGCAAAGGTCCTGAGGTGGAAGCATGCTCGGCTTTGGGGCTAAGCAGAGTAGAATAAAATCCAAGCTTTACTATAGTTTATAAGGTGGTCTAGTTCTCTTATCCTCTCCCCAGTTTGCAACCTTCTTTTACCTGTTTGCAACCTTCTTTTTCCAGCACTGCGCTCAACCCCCACTATATATTCTATCCACACTGACCTTCTAGTTCACTAGAAGCTGTTTCTTCCTTTTGCCTGTGTTGTTGCCTCTGCTGGGAATACTTCCTAATCCTTATTCCCAAATGCTATTTGCAAGGCTGGTTCCTTCTCATCCACTAGGTTTCAGTTTAAGTTTTACCCTATGTCTTTTGGAACCATAGAACCTTGCTATTTCTTTCCTATTTCAACTTCCTCTTTGTTTCCTTCATAACACTAATCGCAGCATGCAACTGGGATTCATATATATATATATATATATATATGAATTTATACTTAAAACTCAATAGTAAATGGTATCTCATTGTCATTTAAATTTGCATTTTGGTCACTAATGAGGATGAATGAAGCGTTTTCCCAAACAATGGTTAATGGTTAGCATGATCTATTTTCTGTATTTGGCCCAAATGTTTACTTCACGTCCCTATTTCTTAAGACTGAGAACAGGCCCAGCCAACTGCGACCCATCCTGTTCACTTGTCTGGGGGCAATTTATTTTCCCAAGTTTCCTGGCAGAGTTAGTGACTCGTGGTGACTGACCACCTCTTCACAGGAATTTTTCCAAAACTCAAACCCATTTAGAAGAAAGTGTTTGTTTCAGTTCAACCTCACCGAATGTGAAAATGGGCAAAAAAGTTGTATTTGAGTAGTGCGAGGTACTCCCTATTCTGCAGTCATTATTGAACAATTATTAATGGCCACCTGATTATGCGTTACGAAGTACTGACAGTTCCTGGGAAGCAAAGGGGAGCCCTGCCCCTCCCCGGCCAGGCCACTCCGCCTTTTCCAGGAGGCTGTCCGCGACGCCGCAGGCAGATTGTCTAACTGACGCCGGGAAACCGCCCAGAGCTGAGGCAGGAGACCCCACGCTGCGCTCGCCGGGTAGACCTCTGAGGTTCCGCGACGTCTCTCCAGGCTCCAGCCAGGCCGCTCTCTCCAACCCCGCCGAGATTCTACTTCCTCTCGCGAGAGCCCGAGAGAGGCCAGGCTGCCGGCGGCCGCTGCGGGATGTTGGCGAGGCGCTCCAGACCGCGCCCTCTCTGGCGCAGCTGGGAGAAGCGCGGGCGGGAGAGGCAGGAGGCGCGCACGCGCAGGTGAGTGGGGCGGTGCGGGGCACCAGGGCGGGAGGCGGGGCCTTGCGTCGCGCAGCGGGCACGTAGCTGCGCGTCCTCAGTATTTAATGTCTCTGTGTTCCTCCGGCCTGGGCAAGCACGTGGGGGAGCGGCCGCAGCGCAGCGGGGCTGGGCTGCTGGGCCCGGGGGTGGGGGGGGCGGCGGCGGGCGAGGACTCTGCATCCCGACTGTCGCCGAGGACCTGGTGAGTTGGGGCCTCCCGGGCGGCTGGCGCGAGGACCACCTGCCAGGCCCCCGAGGGCGGCGCCGTCGGGCGCTGGGAGTCTAGGGTGCAGGTGCGGTGTGCGACGCGCGCTCCAGGTGTCCTGGAGGCGCTAGGCTGCGGAAGCCGAGAGCCTGAGGAGGGGATCTGGCCCATCGCCTGCTGTCAAGCAGGCCCTTTCGCTGTCGTCGCCTGCGCGCCCCCTCTTCCTCCCCCGCCGGGGTTGTCTGCCCGCGGGCCCCTGCTGACAGGTCGCGTGTGCGCGGCTGGAGCCATGGCCTGCGGCCGCATGGTGCCCCCCACGCGCGTCACAGCCCTCTGGGGGTAGGGAGGCGAGGACGCGGCGCCCGGGGCACCCCTCTGCGACTTAACTTTCCCCGAGCGTGCACTCCCTCCCGTGAGACAGACCCGAGCGCGTCCCACCCAAGGTCGCCCAACCCCACACGCGTTTACTTTTCAAAGGTCGTGTGTACCCAAGTGGGAACTGGGAGAGGCGGCGGCGGGGCGGGCTGTGGGCAGGGCCAGGCGCTCGTAAGGGCGAGGAGGTGCCCCGAGGCCCGCGGGCACCCTTTCTTCCTCCTGAAGGGCTGGAGTTGAAATGGTCACTTCAGGAACCTTATCCAACTTCTGGGCCCCTTAAGCTCGCGCTGGGTTGCTCCCCACCTAGGCACGGTGGTGGCAAACCCGTGCAGGTAGCCTAGCCCCTGGGAGTTCAGTTCGGCGAACCTGGGAAGAGGGTTGATTTGCGGAACGCGGAGGATGGGCTAGGGCACCGTGGTGATTGGAAAGGTTTTGGGGGCAGGGACCTTTGGAACCGAGTTAGGGTCCTGAGGTCAAGGGCTTGGTGTCTCTCGAGAGGATTAGCATATGCAGCCCCTTCAAGGGTGTCGGGAGAGGTGGAGGTTGTCCTGGCCGTTGTGCCCGCGGACTTCATGCCCCGGGGCGCGTGGGTCACGTGTCACACTCCGCCTGCACCACCGCCCCCCCCCCCCCGGCCCGCGGTGTGGAGGGACCACGCTAGTTTCGGGGTTATGGGTCAAAATGGGCTTGGGAAGACTGTGGTCTGAACGCCTCGGGGCAGGCTCTCACCAGTTCCGTTGTGCCCTAAGGTACAGTCCCTCCCTATCCCCCACCTCCGAGGGAGGCTTAGAGAAGGAAAGGCGCTGTTGATGGTGGGCGGTGTCGAACAGACCCGGGACTGCTGGAACCCCTGGGTCTTTCGAGATCTCTCCTGCAGAGATGCCGAGGTTGGCTGGTGCCTTCCTCCCGCTTGGCCGCGGCTAACAGAAACCCGGTGCTCTTCACCCCAGGTGTTAGTGAAGGCAGCTCCAGCCGGGTAGTGGGTATGGACAGAGCAATTAGGTTAAGCCAACTATCTTTTCCCTACTGAAGTGTAGGCTACTTTGTTTTTAAATTTATCTCTTGCAGGGGAATCTGGGCTGCTTGACACCTGGTACGGTCATATCTGTTGGTTTCCTATCCCCCTCCCCCCTCCCCCCTTTGTCGCAATTACTGATCAAGGAACACCATTCACAAAAAGCTGTTAACTCTAGCAACTGGTAACCTTACTGTGTTCTTGTAACCAAGTGCTTCTCAAATTAGTTTGTTGTGTTTTTTTTTTAAACTATTCAGAAAGCAAAGCTCGGACTCTTAGTAAGCACCACCCATCCCCTTTGCTCTTAAAGGCACAGAGCACCTTTGAAATGAGTGGATAGATGATAGCATGAGCATGATTTGATCATTTTTCACATTTCTTTGTTTCTGGCATTCAAGTAGTTCACCTGCTGATTATTTAATATTTTCTGGGGGCGCCTGGGGCTCAGTGGGTTAAGGCCTCTGCCTTCTGCTCGGGTTGTGGTCTCAGGGTCCTGGTATCGAGCCCCGCAACGCGATTTCTGCTCAGTGGGGAGCCCGCTTCCTCCTCTCTCTCTGCCTGACTCTCTGCCTACTTATGATCTCTCTGTCAAATGAATAAAATCTTAAAAAATTTTTTTTTCTGAGGGGCACCTGGCTGGCTCAGTGGGTAGAGCATGCGAGTTTTGATTTTGGGGTTGTGAGTTTGAGTTCCACATTGTGTAGAGATTACTAAAAAATAAATAAAACTTAAAAAAACGTTCTGAGCACTGGGAACAAGTGAAATTATGTTTTGGGGGGGGCTTTTGTGTTGAACTTTAACCTCTTCCACCTCAACTTTTCAATCTCTGTCTTTATTTGACAGACAGAGATCACAAGTAGGCAGAAAGGCAGGCAGAGAGAGAGAGAAGAGGGAGTAGGCTCCCTGCGGAGCAGACAGCCCGATGTGGGGCTCGATTCCAGAACCCTGGGATCATGACCTGAGCCGAAGGCAGAGGCTTTAACCCACTGAGCCACCCAGGCGCCCCACCTCTTCCACCTCTTAACTAGTTTTGTGGGTTCTGGGAAGTAATTCTGGGGTGTATTCTCAGAGGAAATATGGCTCTAGGATCTGAGAGGGCCTTTTGATCCTACAAATATGCAAATCACTGAAGCCTCGGTGCCTACCTGGATTAAACTGGCTCCTTTGTCATGCACATTGCTAGGCGATGGCTCCAAATTTGCAGATAATAGATCCCATCTAAGCCCTTGAGTGACACGTATCTTGGTCCCTAGAGCCTTTTGTATGAATATCCTTTCCTCCGCCCAGCCATTTTCTAGGAAGTACAGCAACTCCTGGCCCCTGTAGGGTGAGCACAAAGGTGTCTGCTGTCAATGGGACCTGCTCAGATGCCAGGTAGATGTGGCTCTGGTGTAAGGTTGCTGAACATCAATATTTTAAAGCAGTCTGTTTTGCTGTAGCTGGTAATCTAAATTATTTGTGGGTGTTGGACCCAGGCCTGGCCATAGCCCTCGTTTGTGGGTGAAGACTAGTTTTAGCCTTTACAGTGTTCCCTCTCATCCTAAAGACAGATTGAGATTATATTTTAGACTGGGCATTGTGCCTGGTTCATGATGGCTGTTCAAGAATTGCTTTTTTTCTCCTCCTAAAGAATCTCTGAGATTAACGTTAATTTCTCTTGAATCACTTCAGTGATTTGGATTTTATTAAGGATACCCCTCCTCGCTAGCCTCTGACCTGGATACTTGGTTGGAAGGAAAGCAAATTGGTTTCCCCACACTGCTCCCAGCCTCCTGGCTCTAGCCTGAAGCAACATGATTTGGTTGAGTACACGTTTCAGGGTTTTGAGGAGTGGGCACCCCATGTGCCTGGCCAGCTGGTGCCTTCCTGCCCATTCTCCCCAGGCCACTCCTTCCTAACCTTCGCTGTGCTTGCAGAAGAAGAGGACCTCTCTGTAGCTTGGTCTGCTGTGCTGTTGTAAGGAAGTCAGTTTTGTGTATGAGTAAGCCACCTTCTGTTTGCCATTCTGTTTTCCTCTGCTCTGGGAAGGCAGGGGTCCTCTGGGCCTCTTGTCCCACTGAAATCCTCTCCTGTGGTTTGAGCTGCTAATCTGCGTGGGATGTATTTAAATCCTAACCTTGGCTTTCTAAGGCAAGTTCTTTTTTTTTCCACAGCCCTTTCTGGTGTAATGCTTCATGCAGGTTTCACCTTTATGATCATTTAACATGAAATACCCATTGTTTGTGGCGCTCCACAGAGCAGCTCTGCTGGCTCCAATACCTGATTTTATACTTTGGGTTGTGGAAAACAGGATCAGTGGCAGTGTCTTGAGTGGGACAGAATCTGGCTGAAGAGGTAGCTAGCTGGTGGGGATGTGGGAACTATAAATTAGAGGATGCCTTTTCCTTGACAGTTACTGTCTTGTGCTGGGAGAGTTACATGCAAACACCTCCTTGATCCTTTAATCCTCACACCTCTGAGTACAATTGAGGCGGGTGATGCTGGAGGTCAATTGGGATTGTTTCAATGGCCAGTATAAATATTAAACTAGGTCCTCTGGAGGGCTTTTGTGAGAAGAACCAAGGAATAGTCAAATCCGTGGGCTTTTCTCCTAATCTTTCTGTTGCTTTCTAAGCAGATTGTTGGAGTGAAGGAGTGTATGTTATGCAGCATTTTGAAGACTGGCTTTCAGTAATAAGTAGCTTTCATGGTGTCCTTTTCCTTAACTTTCTTTTCCTCCTGCTAAGTGGTCTTCTTTCTGTCCAAATCCTGGCCATTTGGATATTTCTACAGCTCAGTTTGGTAGTTTACAGCAGTTGGTAGTAAACACTCTGTCCCCATCTGGTAAGACTGGCTGCCTGCCTTCACTCAGCCCCGTGTTACTGAGGCCCATAGCATTCAGGAACAAAGCAGAGCCCCAGGTGAGTTGTGGGAGTCAAAATGCAAAGGCTGAGGACCTAGGAATGAGAATTGTTTCAACCCTGGGTTTAGCTGGCAAGAGCCCTGGTTTGAGGGATGAGGACGGGGGTTGGGGGGGGTGCGGTGGGACGACGACAGCTTTCAGGACTGAAACCTGGCTGTGTCTCTAGACCCTTCTGGGGTCTCAGTTTCTTCAGCTGGTAAAAGGAGGGTTGATCAACATCAGTCAAGAGTGTTCAGATTCTGCTCCTTAGAGTGCCTCTGGGATACTGC